CTCTATCTGGTTACCAAATTCCTTAGTCTTTCAACTCTCCCAATTCCAACACTATCTGATTCCTTGTTGCCTTATTTGACAGATTTTTCTTTTAAATTTAATTTTAAATTATTTCCTTATGTGAGATTATTATTATTTGAAAATATAAACCTCCATAAGATATCTGTTGTTTTAACAACATATTAATAATCTGTTTAGTTTTAATATTTATTAAACAAATGATTTGAAATAATGATTTTATATTAAATTTTCTTGCAAATTCAATCTTTGAATGATGATATTTTCAATCTTTTTTTATGAAAATTTCTTTGGTTTCTACGATCACTATAAAAAGCTTATAATGCATTAATTTAATTGTTCACATTAAGTTGATTAAAAACTGTGTCTTTTCTTAAATGAGCATAATCTCATCAGTTGATATTTATGAATATTTTAAATTTCATATAGTTGAGTATGACAATCCTAATAATTCTTAAAGAGGAAAGTTTGCATTTTCTATTCTTAACATTCTATGATTTCCTACAAGACAAAAGGAAGCCATTTTAGGGTCAAATATTTTTCCTCATCCTATTAGGTTAATGTTTGAAAATACATTTCAAAGTATTCCTTTCAAAAAGGTTACACAGTTCTTGAATAATATATTCTTCAAATTCCGGAAAAATCTTTGTATGCTTTTCTTTGATATTGTTTAAGTGAAGAATTTTAACAGGAAGGATATCCAAAACAAATATTTCCTTTTTTTAATATTGTAATATAAATATTGATTAATTGTAAATAGATTATATTAATTTAATTAAATGTTTAAACCAAAAATGATAGAAAATGAAAAAGAATTTTCATGTTCTTAAGGTCATAAGTTACCTGTCGTTACTATTGCACTTGATCCAGATTTATCAATGAATTAAAGACTCTTATGTACAGAATGTTTAGAGAATACAGACTTAGATGCTAAAGTAGTTGGATTAAAGAAAATTATTTCACTAATTGAAGAAGGATAGATAAAAAAGATGGAAAAAGTAGAATACTTAATAACCAGCTAAATAAAATTAATTGAATAATTACATGATCAAGTAGATCATATGAAATCACTTGTGATCTAATAATTTGACTAATCGATTACAATATTGAAGGAATGGATTTATAATCTATAGTAAAAAGGATCATAATAACATCTTTACAGATTTTAAGAGGAATTATAAATTATGCTGTTAAAATAAAATAAAGCTGATGATAAATTGTAATAAATAATTCATGAAATTTAACAAATAAATCACTGTTGGACTTCCAAACTACATCCTAAATTAGAATAATTTAATGCATTTGAAGAATATACAAAATGTTAAGAACTACTATCAAATTTGGAATTATCTTCTAAAAAAATTACTCAAAGTTAATAATAGGAATAAAAAATAAAGGTTCTCAATAATAACTTAGTTATGATAAATAAGTAAGAATATCAAAAATAAGAATAAGAGATCAAATTAAAACTAATTGATTAATCTGTCAAATAAGAGGAATAATGTAATGTAATAGTTTTTGATTCTTCTGGGTCAATTATGGTATCAACCAAGAAGTTTGAGATTCAAGTATGGAGTTTTCTAAATGGAATAATCAAATTAGTACAAACATTGTAAGGACATACTTCTTGGGTCTAATGTTTAGTTTATAGTAAAAAATAGAATTCGTTTATTTCATGTTCTTTTGACAAAACAATAAGATGCTGGCAATAATTGAACTAAAATGATTGGATTAGTTTATAACCTTATTAATAACATACATCTTTTGTTTTTTGCGTTCTATTAAATGAAAATGAGGATTTACTATTTTCTGGAAGTGATGACAAATCAATCAAAGTTTGGAAGGTTGACTTTAATCAAAATTAATTGACATTTCTATATTCATTAGATAAACATAATAATTAGGTTACGTCATTAAGTTTAAATTAATCAGAAGATAAATTAGTATCATGTGCATATAATTAGAATCAAATTATTATTTGGGAAAGGAGACAAAATAATCAGTTTGAATTCAAGTATTTTGTTAAATAATCAATTTAAGAATTTGGACTTAAGGTTAAGTTTATTAAAGATAATTAATTTATTTGGATAACTGGTTGTAAAGAAATAGATAAACTTTATGTGTTTGAAATAGAATAAGGAATCTTTTAAGAAAATAAGGACAAGACAATTTAATTAATTGCAAATAATCAAGATTTTGATGAATATCGTTTTCCAATTGTTTATAATAAAGAGAGGAATTTGATATTAGTAAGGCATAAGACATATATTTATATCATCAGAGAAATTAATGATGCCAAGTACAAAATTTATCATTAACTCAATTGTGAAACAATTTGTATTTAAGGAACTATCACAAATAATGGGTAATATTTGGTATATTGGGATAAAAAAAAGTAAGAAATTTCAACATATGAATTATTAAATTAATGAACTATTATGGATATTTATATTATTTTTGATTTTTTTCTAAAACATCAAGCGCACAAAATACGATTAAGTTTATAAAAATTTTGATTCTAACCTTTGACAAAGAATATAAATTTCAATTGAGATCTCTACAACAACTTTGAAACTTCATAACAGAGAGTCAAACGATTTCTTTCAATTTATTTATTTTTAGTTTTTTTCAGGTTTTTTCTTAATATTAAATACTGTTTACAATTTAAATTAAGTTGTAAAGAAATTTATTCTTAATAGAAAATATATAAATTTGATATTAAGCTAAAATGTTCTAAAATCTTTGTTCAACCAATTAAAATTGTTGATTTTAATGGTTTACCAGATGTACTCGGATGCCTTATACAAGCACAAGTCTCCTTTTTGTAACAGAAAGAAGGTTTGAAAAAATTTGAAAGAATGAGCCCTAGATGAAACTAATTTGATGGCTCAAAAAGTTAGTAAAAGAAACCGATTTTCAAAAATAATTTCTGCTCAAATTTTCCTTGAGGATGGTTATACTTGCTTTAAACTGATTGAAGTTGAAAAAAAGCATCAATTGTTCTCTGTCTACTTCTTAGATCAGTTCTTCTAATTGCTATAAATAATAATCCCTAATATCAAGATTCTAATATCAAGATACTTATAGGTTGGAATTTTTAAGACTATCTAGGTTTCTCTTTGGATGTTGTAGAAGTAGCACAATAAAAGTAAAATTAACACCTTTGCCGTATTTTTAAAGAAAACTTTCAAAATCAGACATTCTTCTTCTTTTCCAATAAGTATTCATATATAATTCTTCTTTTTACTTTCAGATCCTCTCAACTAAATTCTAGTTGCAGAGAGAGTTAAATTTGTATTGTTTGTAGGCAATATTATATTATATCCAGATCTAAAATTAGAATTCAACTATTCTTAAACTCCTCATTAATTCGCAACATATAGTTACGTCATTTATTAACATCAACAACCCTATAAGTATAATAGACTCATCAGACTTAGATAATTCTTTTTAATTTATTGTTAATGTTAAACAAACTCATCTATTCCATACCTAACATAGTATTTCAGAAGGCTTGTCATAATTTATCTCACAAATTTCTTCAATTATCTATTTTAGAATTTCATATTTTAGATTATAATAAAATCCATCAATGCTGCTCGATTTGTAGTCAGTTATCAAAGTGTTAGGATCTTCATTAATTTTCTTTAATTATTATCAGTTGCTCATTCAATTTCTCTAGGTGTTAAATTATCCCTTTATATTTTACTCTTAAGATTTAGATTGATTTTTAGCACTATCAAATAAATATAGAGAAGATTCCAGCTGAATTTTTCAACTAAATCTAGTCTTACCACTATTTTTGAATGATAACTTCATTTAATATTCTGATAGAATTCTTTTGAGCACCAATCATTGTATATTGTATATCTAGTCAAGCTAACTAATTAATTGTTTGCACAAAAATGAAACACAAAAAAAAACATTGTTTTATCATAATTTTCTGATGATTTCATAACTAGGGCATTTGAAGGGAAGTTCTCTTAAGTCTTCTCTGAGAAAGAAAGAGGTAGGGGAGGCTTATAATGAATGCAATGACATATAGAGAAGTGAGGAAATGATAAGGGGAAAAAGAGTGAGATTCAAAGACAAAGAGGCCCCTAATACTCCGGGCAAGCTTAGGTGCTTGGAGGAGGATTTTAAATTATGTTGAAATGATACAGAGTAGTATCATATTTCAATTAAAGTCAAGCAGTATGTTTTTTCTCTTTAAATAAGAGCATAATATACAATTAAACTTCTTTGTTTGTATAAACTATGACTTCAACTCTTACATATTCTGGAGGTTCATAATTCAATTTCCTGATTATGGTTAAAGTTTGATGGAGCAAGCATCCATCATCATATGTTCCTCAAGCTCTTCTATTTCTAGGGTCACTTTCTCACTATAAAATAAATAAACTGGAGCAATATCAGTAGCACAGGAATAAAAATTCAAATCAGTATTTCAATTTCCATGATTTTGGTGATACTTCTTTGTGAAGATTTGTTTTGAGAAAAATAATATCATGTAATGAAGTGAAAGAGTAATTAACCCAAGTTGGACTTTTGATTATGATTTTCATAAACATTAAAATTTTTAGGGCAGTTTACTTGATTGATTCTTTCATTCATCAAGGATTCACTCAAAGAGATTAAGTATTTGAAAATTAGTTAAATCAATCATCAGATTATTTTGTATTAAGGTTTCATAGCTAATTCAGTTGGAGAGAGAGATTTAAGAGATTTAAGTGGCAAAATAATTTTAAACACGATAAGATTTAAGATATAATATAAATAGCATATGACTCTAAGCCAAATTTTAATAGAAATTAAAGTACTTAAATTTTGAATCCTTGAAAAATACTTGACCAAAAGTGCTTTGTTTCAAAGCAATTTTTAATAACATACTTGCAATTTAGAAAAGTAAAGTATAAGGCACTCTTTAAAAAATGCTTAAATCGGGTGATTCGGATATGGTGAAGAATAATAATGAACTTCTAATAAGATCATAATGCCTTGTTTCAGTGGTTAAATTAAGTGATCATAAATTACAGATTCTTACTGCCTTTAGATTAATGTTTAGTATATTTTGATCTTCTTTTTGATAAAGTTATCCAAAATTAGCTGAAATTTGCAAGTTTAAAACTATAACTAAATTCTAAATTATTAATAAAAAATGTCTCAGTATGCTCTTTTATTTGAAAAATATGAAAGGGCTTTAGAATAAAAGGTAAAAAGAGGCTTAAAATGTAAGAATTAAAATGTAGAATAAATTAAATGGCTTTAAGTAAAAATAAGGACTAAAAGTCCCGCTCTAGAAGTTTGATAAAATGTGATAAATGTAATAGTAAAAGAAAAGTAAAAATATACAAATCAATTAAATAATTAAATGTATAGGAGTATAAAATTCTTAAGTCAGAAATGTAATTTCAATCAAAGAATTTCAAAATTCTTGAAGAATAGGAAAAGCAAAATAAACTCAATAATTTAATAAAATAAAAATTTAAAAATCAAAATGTTCTTTCATTTAATAAAAATTTACATTAATCTGCATGAACTAATTATAGGCTTTTTAATTTAGTTTAGTACAAGATTAATCTACAACCACAAGTTGTAGAATGAAAATGTATGAAAAAGTAACACATCCATCATCACAACTTAATACGAGATGATTTGAAAAGGAGACTATTAAATAAAGTTATTTTCAAAGTCCTAATGCTCTAAAGAAAAAATTCTTTAAACTACTTTAAGATAAAGACTTCAGGAATAACCATCTAATGCTTATTCTCATTACATTCCAATAATTACCTCATTCAAATTAATTATTCCATAATTAGACTCTCCTTTGAGCTAATTTCCCTATTTCTATTTTACAAACTCTTATATTCTTATTTATTGTTCTAATTGTATATTTGAAATCGCTTAAATTTTTTGTAACTGTTCTTTAATTTCTAAGATTTGTCTATCACCTTATAATTAAAATCTTAATACTTGATTAATCATTTAAATAATTAATTGACTTTTAAATGTCTAATTAGAAATCATATTTTATTTTTTCTAATTTGCTTTCCATATCCTTCGTTATCTTATAGTCATCTAAAGTAACCATTTCTTTATCTAATTGAACCAAATCATCAACAACTTAAAGCAATTCTTCATAACTTAATTATTGTATAGTAGTTTATTTTATCTTGCTAGTCTTGCAGATTTATGTAATTGGTTAGAAAAAATTTGCCTGAGTAATTAGATTTAACTACTAATAGTAATTCTTACTAATTTAGGAAATTTATTGATTTAACTTCTATTATTTAATTTACTTCTTTGACTTTTATTGATTAGCAATTTTATCTTAATATACCTTCTACTTTTTTTAATTCCATAACTCATCTATTTCTTGAACCGTTTTTAATTTTTATGAGCTCCCATTACTTTTGCATCGAACACAAGCTAATCTTTTTTCTGTTTAAAGATTCTCAGAATCTATGTCAATCAGAACTATTTCCTTGTGATGATCTTTACAAAGTGTACTTAAACTCAATGTTTTCTAATTATATATAAAATATACTGTATTATTTTCAAGTTTTGGTGGTTCTAATTGAATTTAATTCTCCATATGGAAGTTAGTTATTATCTTTTTAGCATTTTCAAAAGCTTCAATAGTTTACAGGTAATCTATATCATCTGAAACTTTCTAAAACTAGCTCTACATCTCATTTATATAATAAAATTCCATTTAATCTTCTGGTTTCGAAATAAATTCTTATAATAATTTAACATCCTCCCAGAAATTCGACTAAGTTAAATAATTTTCAGATAAAGACAGTTCTTGTGATTTAAGCGTAATTTATGTTTATAATTCAATTGAGATTTTTTACAAAATAGTATTAAACTTACATTTGAACTACTCTATGTTTTTAAACAGGTTTTACAATTAGGTTAGAATTATTTCAATTTCATTCTTTCTTCTTTGTGACTATTATTTCTTATATGATGTTATTTATTCTTTTGCTTCCATAATTGTTAATATTTTATTATCATTTGTCTTATCAACTAAACATTTATTACACATATGTGTAGCATTTCCAGTTATTGACTAGTTAAGGTTTACAGCAGTTATTATTTCGTTGTTATGAAATCGGCACATCATTGTTTGGACCTCTAAATTTTAAGTAGCTGATGTATTCATTTATTATGATTTTTTTTTAAATCATAATTTCTTTCTTCATCTTTAAATTATTCTGAATTCTATTAAATTAAAATTTATTTGCAGTAAAAAATATCAATTAAATACTATTAATGTTTCCCATTATATTAAAGAAGAAAGAATTTTTCTTAACTCAAGAGCTATGATAATTTATCTAGGGTTATTTAAAGGTCAATTTTGAAGATACCAGTTATGCAGTTACACAACATGCAACGAGATTGAAAACAAATAGATTTGATTTTATTT